TGCCAAGAATCTTGGATTCCGGCCCATATAGGAAGATGAGCACATAGTCGATAAGCAGAAACCCCCAGCCTGGTTCCCGCTGTAATCTGTGAGTAGGACAAACCTCAGAAAGCTCTGTCCGCTGGACGAGGTGGGCAGATTCCCAGCGTGGCTCTGTGTAGACTGCGAAGGCATTTGGGGGAGATCTGGTCCCTCCAGGATACCGAGTGGTGCGTGGAAAGGCTCAGCGGATAAGAGAAACCAGGAGGGCCCTCAGCAAGGGGAGCAGCAGCCACGTGGGGCACACACTGACCTCTTCGCTGCTGCCTGTGACAAAAGCAGAGCCCAGATGACCCGTGACCCGTGCACATTTGCAGGGCTAACATTCGTTTGGTTTGCTACGCTGCAGTTTAACTATCTTAAGACTCCCCATTTCCAGGAAACTGCCAAGAACTTTTGTTTTTCCAAGAGTATGTTTGTAAAATATTCAAATAGGAACTGTGTATTGGATGAAAGCTTGTCTAAATAGCCATCTTTTTCCAGGACCCTGATTGGTGGGATGAATGTTGAATTGGGAGGACTAGACTCAGCCCTACCCCTTCCTCGTTAAGGAAACGGGGGCTCAGAGGTTTGTGTGTGTCCGCAGAGCCCGCTTGTCCATCCAAATGCGGTTATATCAAAGCCTTTAGCACTAGAGCTTGCAGCACTTGACCTATAGCAGATGTTCAGGAAGTGCTGCCTTCCCAAATTTAGATGTTTTCTTGATTCATGGATCTTTTTTTCTTACAGCAGAGAAAGTCAGTCTGTGCTTGCCTAGTGAAAACAGGTGAAGATGATAAAAAGTGGAGACAAAACTTGCTGCCTCTTACTGGCTTATCTCTAGCTTGTTTGAATCTAGATACCCAAAGGAGCGCTGGTTTTAAGAGTTCTGTTGTAATGACCCAGGTGCCTTTATCTGATGGTTCTCATGTATGTTTTTGCTAACCAGGAGCTCAGAGAAGATAATATCATTTTAATTGAGACCAAGGCCATGCTGGAGGAACAGCTGACTGCTGCTCGCACGCGGGGCGATAAAGTCCACGAGCTGGAGAAGGAGAATCTGCAGCTGAAATCTAAACTTCACGACCTGGAATTGGTACTGCAGGCTGGGTGGTTACCGACTTAACACAGATTGGGGCAGTTTCAGGTTTATGCCACGCCCGTCTCTGCTGTTTTAGCTACTGGGTTTGCTGCTGCTGCTGCTGCTGCTGCCAATAACAGACTGACTGTGGGGAGTGGCTTGCTAAGGTCCGTGGGCTGGAGTGGAGGCAGCACTTAACACCCACAAAACAGCATTTGACTTCTGTATTGATCTCCTGTAAGGATGAACACATATGTGTGTCTTTTGCAAGAAGGGTCTTTGCTGGCGTTTATGGTGTGGTTGAGCCATGATTCTTTAGCCTCTTCACAGCTTTCGAGGTCTACTTTAGAGCCACGAAGCTGCCTGTCACCGTAGTACTTGCTTTAAAGCCCTGTGCAGCATGTCACTTTGTTCAGACTACATTCAATTAGGGACCTCCTGTCTCTCTTTACAACCTAGGTAGCCAGGTCAGGTGTCTTTTAGTGGCCGTACCTCTCACAGTGGGGTGGGCCCTGTGCTGGAGTCCTGTTTATTTGGAGGTGAGCAGGTGCGTGGAGTCATGATAGATGCGCAGGGGCTGGGGCTCGTCCAGAAGGTTCCCCCAGCTGCGTCCTCACTCCTTCCCTCTTCCTGCCCTAGGACCGGGACACAGATAAGAAACGAATTGAGGAGCTGCTGGAAGAAAACATGGTCCTCGAGATTGCACAGAAACAGAGCATGAACGAATCTGCCCACCTCGGCTGGGAGCTGGAGCAGCTGTCCAAGAATGCAGACCTGTCAGATGGTGGGTAGTGCCTGGTGCCTGGGACCAGCCTGGCTGTGGCCACCTCCTCTTCCGGGAGGCTGAGCCCTTGGCTCTGAACCCTCCGTGTCAGCCCATCCATTCACCTCAAGTAAATACGATTTCCTTCAAGTGCCATTTGGAACTATTTCATTACAGTTCTCCCTAAGGGAACATGAGGGGTCTGGCAGCCTTGATGTTGGGACATTAAACACAAATTAAGTGTTGCCAGGTTTCCCAGTTCCCATATGGACACTCCTGGGAGCTTCCAGGTTATAGCCTGCTGACACCCAGAGGACATCTTAGGCCATCGTGGATGGCTGAAAGCCCCGAATGGCAAGAGCCGGCCCCAGCAGTCACTAATCCCCACTATAAATGTACCCCGGGCATTACTGCCTCTGCTCGTTTGCATAATTGGGCAAGATGGATGCAGCCTGTTCTCTGTCCCCTGGGTGGGGTTGCTAAGTGGCTGTTGCTCCTGAGACCCGGGTTCTCGGCTGATCTGCCAGGCCTCTTCCTCTCCCACTCAGACTTGCTCTGCTGCCGGCTGCCCCAGGGCGAGGTGTCCGTCGCGGGAAGGGAGGGTGGGGCAGCCATCAGCCCTTGAGCAGGAAGCCTCAGCACCCGGCCAACAATAAGCCAGTTCCTGTGTTTGAAAATAGCACACGCTCACCATTCCCGTGCACCTGATAACGCAAGTTAACATTTACTTGGGGCTTTAGAGTGTGATAGGGCTTTTGGCTTGTTTAGGGGCCGGCTTTTTAAAATTCTGCTAAACATTCCTAAGCATGTTGAAAAGTTCGTTATTGAAAGCAACTGAGTATTTCTTCTCTTCAAGGGGTCCTATCATTTCCGAACCTAAAATCAGTTAGTTAAACTATTAATGTGTGTAGGAAGTTAGTTCTGCCTGTGCTTTGGTACCTGGGCATGGGGCCAGGCATGAGGGCTGCACAGGGCTGGGATCCCTCAAAGTCTCTGCTTCTGGAAGTCCAAGTCCGTTGGGGGGCGCTGCCCCCTGGTGGAGCAGAGTGGTGGTGCAGGCTGCCGAGGCCTGTCTCTCTGATCAATGTACTTGCCTCACCCGTTCAGACTATTCAGGATAATTTGTGACCCTTTAAGGTCAATGACCATGATTTATTCTTCGTGTTCTCAACTACTAGTACCTAGCTAGGAATTGATAAATGTTGGCTTGAATAATGACATAATGCAAGCAAAACCTGAAGGTACTTTTGAGTCAAAAGGCCTGACTTAAAGTCTTGGCTCCTCCACTAATTAGCTGGGTGACCGAGGGCAAGTACTAAACCTCTTTAAATTTCAGCTCAACATGGGGGCAGCTGTTCTTATTGCCGTTGGCCTTATTAACACATTAGCTGTCATGTGAGTTGTATTTAACTCACGCTAGTTTTGAGCCCACAGCCTCGTGAAGCATATGAAGACTCAATTCTCCAAAACAAATTCAGTGTGTCATGAGTCACAAACAATTCAGTTGGTGTGCAGTGTAAAAATTGATTCCAGCACCACGTGAGTTGCATACAACTCATGCACAGAAAACAATAAAAAAACCAATTTATCATTAAATTAGAAAGGATCATTTTGTTTTTGAAATTTTTATTCTACGTTTGTAATAAATCACCATGGCCCCAGGGAAAAATTTTTTTTTCTGTTGTGGCAGTCAACGTGTTAAAACAGCGAGCGGGTTACTCTGGTTGTGCTCCAGGGGTGCCGATGAGAGAAGCCCCGGTGAAGAACTATTGATTGTCTTAGTAATAAACCGTTGTGTCGGCGTAATATCCTTCACTGACTTTTATAGAGGAGCAAACGAGATTTACAATCAATTCCCTTGTTTAACTTTTAGAACCTTAAAAATTGTTCTCTGGGGGCGCAGCGCTTCAGGTTGGGAGAATACAAAGAGATGGATGGTGGTGATGGTTGTAGGGATGACGTGAATGTACCTAATGCCCAGACCTGTGCGCTTAAAGATGGTTAAAATGGTAAATTTTACATAGATTCCACCATAATAAAAAATACTTTTTCACAAATGCTGCAGAGGCACTGTCTGAAATGGTGACAGGTTCTGAATTAGTGGGGTTTTATTTTAGGTTAGGCATTTTAGATTAGGTGAGTTTCAGTTGCAGCGTAGTCAAGACGAAGCCTTCCAGGCGACCTCATGTGTCGCGAGTGCGTGCGTTTATGTGTGAATTGGCGCTGGGCCTGGGTCAGGGCCACAGACACACTGTCCCCCTCTGCTGCCGCCTTGCCTGCTGTTGCTTTGGATCTTTGGGCCTGTTGGGTGGTCTGTGCTGTTACCCGTGGTGGAGGATGGAAACTCAAAGGGGAAGACAGACGCCTTTGAATCCTTATGAGCATCCGAGCACACATGTTCTGTTTCCAGATTGGTGTGTGTGCCGTGAGAGCCACCCACCGCCCCGGGGCCATGAGTGAGAGGCCGGGTTGGGGTTAGCTGCCTTAGCGGCACCGGGTGGTGAGGCTGCAGGACATGAGTGCGTGCACTGATGGGAAAGGTCGGGGCTGGAACAGCTTGATCCCTCTTTAGGGCCTTTCCTATATGTTTGCCTTTCCCCTCCCAAAGAAGACCTGTGACTTACCTCCTCTTGTGCAGGAGGGGGCCGGGAACTCCCATCCCCGTCGCTGGGGACCCTGCTCCCTTCTCCATCTGCATCAGAGCTGCTTCAAAGCAGAACAGATACCTGCCTTTTTCTGTCTAGAGCTGATTTTTCGTTTTATTTAGCATCCTTTAAGCAATTTGCATATCCTGGGTCACTTTTATTATGAAATCACAAACAGGTATCTCTGTGCAAAGGCTCTCATTCAGGCTGGCAAGTGCTAGGCATGTGTCCTAGCATAGCTTCCTGTCACCTGCAGCTGACGTGACTGGTCAGGTCCCTCCCTGCCGAGCAGCCCAGACACCCACTGCTCTGAGCAAGCACAGCAAACGTCACCTGTTAGCCTCTGAGATCCTTGAGTTAGACAGGTTGGCAGCCCGGTAAACAACTGGTTCCCGTAAGTCCTCCAGCCTTGAACTCTTGCGTTGGCACCTCAGCTGGAGCCTGCTTCTTCGTGAGCTCTGGGTTGCCCCCAACAGCCCCCAGCTGTGCCACAGAGGGACCCTTGGGCACTGACAGCAGCAGTACCACGTGAGGTGGGAGTGGAGGGGCACAGGGGGGCCTAGCTGACCTGGGGGGAGCCCCTCCCAGGCCCCTTAAATCCTGGGCGCAGGGGCAGAGTGGACGCCAAGGCCCCTGGGCCACTGGGTTCTGACCGGCCTCTGTGCTCCAGCCTCCAGGAAGTCGTTCGTGTTCGAGCTGAACGAGTGCGCCTCCAGCCGCATCCTCAAGCTGGAGAAGGAGAACCAGAGCCTGCAGAGCACCATCCAGGGGCTGCGGGATGCGTCCCTGTCGCTGGAAGAGAGCAGCCTTAAGTGCGGGGAGCTGGAGAAGGAGAACCAGCAGCTCAGTAAGAAGGTAACCTGGGTCCGCTTGGGGCTGCGTAGGCACAGAGATCTGGGACGCCCGCCCTCCCGCCACAGTCCTCGTCTGGAACAGACAGGCAGGAAGGTGGCCAGGCAGGGCACTCGGGCGTCGGGGAGGGCACGCCACTGGGACAGTGCAGCATCCAGGTGCAGGCACAGTTACAACGGAGGGACACGGTGACACCTGAGGAGTATCGGAGGCAGCATGGCTGTCCCTGATCCGCTGGACATGTGACTTCTATGTATCGTGTCTCCTGTGACATGGGGTTGGTGGGCTGCCTACCTACCTACCTACCTACCTACCTGTAGACAGAGTGTCAGAGGCAGCATGGCTGTCCCTGCTCTGCTGGACATGTGACTTCTGTGTGTCTTGTTGTCTGTTGTGAAGTGGGGTTGGAGGGGTACCTGCCTACCTACCTGTAGACAGAAAACCTTTTTCTCTTCTACGTCGCTGCTCTCAGTGCTTCACTTCTGACGCCAGATGTGTGGCTTTTCCCCACCAAGCAATTCTCCGGTTCTCGGTGGACACCAACTTGGTGTCCTCCAGTCTTACTCGCTTCTGACGCTGTCTACCTGGAGTTGGCGCAGACCCCACAGGTTGAGGGCTCAGTCCTGTAGGACTGCCCCCCACTTCAGATGCTGGTCCAAGTCCGGGTTGTCACCTGTGCTTCCAACTGACTAAATCAGAGGTTCCCAGACTGCCCTCCTTGGGGTCCACCATTTGCTAGGACGGCTTAGTGTATTCACTTATTGTAAAGGGCACAGCTCGGGAGCAGCCAGGTAGGATAGAAGTGCAGGCGTGGGGAGCTCCCACACCCACTCTGGGTCTCCCCCTCCCAGCGCCTCCACGTGGTCACCAACCTGGAAGCTCTCTGACCTTGCCCTTTGGGTTGTATACATAGGCATGGTTGATAAAACACTGGCCATTAGTGGCTAACTCCACGTCTAGCCCCTCTGTCCTCCCCGGAGTGGGGGGTGCTGAAAGTTCCAACCCTCTAATCACATGGTTGGTTCCCCTGGCAACCAGCCACCATCCTGAGGCTGTCCAGGAACCCCCCAGCTCTGGACATCTCACTAGCATACATGAAAGACACTTGTCACTTTGGAGATTCCAGGGGTTTTAGGAGCTTGTGCCAGGAACGTGGGCAGAGACCACATAGGCATTTCCTCTTGTGTCACATCACCTAACGGGCATGTGAGGGTGGCGGGAGCTAGTAAGGGGTCTGCACAGAGTAAGCGCTCAGTGGAGACAGCCGTGTGCTGCTAACAGGCGTGAAGTAGGGAAGGGAGCGGAAACAGTAATGTGAGGTTCCGAATTCCAGATGCGGAGCTGTGTGTGTGTGTGTGAGACCGTTGAGGAGCATTTTAGGGTCTTGCTGGTGGTAAAACGAGGAAGTCCATGCTCAGTCCCTCCTATTGGTTTACGGGACAGGGAAGAAGAGCCAGCCGAACTGCATTTGCTTTTAAGGACAGCTGCTGGGTCTCCCTGGTCGCATAGTGGAACCTAGACGGCCGGGAGAGCAGACACGTTTACAGGCCGGTCCTGTTCTGCAGTTAGAGGATCCGCGTTCAGGCGGCCGATTCGGTCTCAGGCCGTTGGGAGGCTGGGGGTTGCCTATAGGATCAGAGGACATCAGATCCACCTGGTCCACACCGAGGGTGGCACAGGTGCAT